TTGTGGTTGACGTCGAAGTCGTCACTGTAGTAGTTGTAGTATCTGTTGTAGTAGTTGTCTCTGTTGTGGTTGACGTCGAAGTCGTCACTGTAGTAGTTGTAGTCTCTGTTGTAGTAGTTGTAGCTTCTGTTGTAGTAGTTGTAGCAGCAGTGGTGGTCGTAGTTGTAGTCTCTGTTGTAGTAGTTGTAGTGTCTGTTGTGGTTGATGTTGTGGTTGACGTCGAAGTCATCCCTGTAGTAGTTGTAGTCTCTGTTGTAGTAGTTGTAGTATCAGTGGTGGTCGTAGTTGTTTCTGTCGTCGTTGACGTCGTAGTTGTAGCTTCTGTTGTAGTAGTTGTAGCATCAGTGGTGGTCGTAGTTGTAGTTGTAGCTTCTGTTGTAGTAGTTGTAGCATCAGTGGTGGTCGTAGTTGTAGTAGTTGTAGCATCAGTGGTGGTCGTAGTTGTAGTAGTTGTGGCATCAGTGGTGGTCGTAGTTGTAGTTGTAGCTTCTGTTGTAGTACTTGTAGCATCTGTGGTGGTCGCAATTGTAGCGTCTGTGGTATTAGTAGTAGGGTCGGTGGTAGTGGCAGTTGGAGTAGCTGTTGTAGTAGTTTCCGTTGGTGATGATGTCGAGGCAGACCATGTTGTCGTTGTTTCTGCTGCGGTAGTAGTCGTAGTAGTGGCGTCTGTGGTAGTCGTATGTACTGTAGTCGTAGTGGTGGTAGTATCTGCAGTAATAGTTTCGGAAGTAGTAGCATCTGTAGTGGTAGTACTAATAAAAGCTGTGACCCTAGTAGTGGTATCTGTGGAAGCAGTTTCCGTTGTTATTGTTTCACTTGTAGTAGCAGTGTCTGTACTAGTAGTAGCATTTATGGTAGCCGTACTAGTAGTGCCATCTGTGGTAGCCGTACTAGTAGTGCCATCTGTGGTAGCCGTACTAGTAGTGCCATCTGTGGTAATCGTTGTAGTGGTGCTTGTGTTAGTTGTTGTTTCTGTAGTGGTAGTCGTAGTTTCTGTCGCTGTTGGTGTTTCAGTTGTAGTAGTAGAATCTGTGGTAGTAGTTTCTGTCGATATAGTTTTTGACTCAGTGGTAGTAGTGGTATCTGTGGAAGTAGTTTCCGTTGTTGGCTTTTGTGTAGTTGTAGTAGTAACACTCATAGTAGTGCCTAGGGTAATAGTAGTAGTAGTATCGGTTTCTGTGGTAGTAGTACTTGGTTCGTTTGTTGTTGTAATTGTTGTCGTCATAGTTTCTGTAGTTGAAGTGGTAGTCTTTATCGGTGTTCTTTCTGTGGTCGTTTCTGTCGATGCTATTTGCTCTGCTGAGCTGGTATATTCAGTGATGGGTTTTGTCTCTGAAGTGCTCGCAGCTTGCTCCGTCGGTGTGTTGGCGTTCGAGGTGATTGTTGTCGCTGTTGTGCTTGTAGTTTCAGTGGTAGTTGTTGTTTCTGTCACAGTTGTGGTTATTGTAATTGTAGTAGTTGTTGTTGTTGTTGTTGTTGTAGTCAGTATTGTTATATCCATCGTGGAAAAAGTGGCACCAAGATTCAGACTTAAACCGTTGTTAAGTGATATCGCAAAAGTTACCGCCGAGTCAGTTCTCTGAATAGTTTTTTCAATACCACCTATATAGCGATCTTTACACGCTTTCATTTGACTGCATGACTGCGGATAGATAAATTCTGTTTCAATAGCCAGTACGGTTTTCGATTGTGGATTTGTGGCATTAGTACCCGATGCGCTGAAGTTAAGAGATAGAGTACTATATGTTTCTAGTTTAGGGATAACTCTTTATGTATCTATTGTTCATTCTGACGACATAACTCAATGAATCGGAAATCGACTGTTAAATTATTTTTCGCATCGACAGGAGTAGACTCCTAACTTATCTCTTAGTTGCTCGTTGCTGTCAATATTTAACTTTAAGCCCAGTCTAACAGTAGACCGTCTAAGAGTTACCTTTGTCGTTTTCTTCTGGTCAGTATGAGACTTTGTACGAATCGAGCTGAAAGTACTCGTATCATGTTACGGGACAGTTTGTACATTTTTGCAATCTATAGAAAAATTGAAAGATATTTTTTAAAGTTGAATCATTTTCATTCAAATAACCATTACTTGATCAGCTAGTCCTGACAGATCAGTGATCTCTAATGAACCATTGCTCGCGAAATTTGTTTCATAGTTGAGAGTGGTAGTAGCCGAAGCTACAAAGAACGTGAAATTGTTCAAATTGTGAGTGGACTAACATTTACATCTATTTTGACATACTTGTTTCGTCGGTGAAACCAACCAACGTGGTATCAGTTTCGTCACTTCGTGGAAAGAACATCGCGACAAAACCCGAAAATACGCCTAATACCCATAGTATAAAAATGCATAAGACAGTACGTTTGATAAGTCGTCGTACTCTGTAAACAAACGAAATATGTTTAACAGCAATAACATGACAAGCTGCTGTTCATACCTTGGTGATGTATTCATTATAACTGATTGATCTATCTTTTAAATGATTAACAGCTTGGCTCAATTTTATAAATGATTTTATATCTAAGAAGAAGAAAATTCGATCTGAAAAGAGTGCATATAGCAATTGAATGAATATTTACCTTAATGTGCATCTAAAAAATAAATAAATGAATGTGCTTGTATTCTTTCTCTTTTATGCGCCCCTTGATATAAAAATCTAAAACCTTTTTGTTTTTATATTCACCTTTGCGAATATGATAATGGCCGTGTAAGTAAATATGATTTGAAAAAAGTAGTGCAATCAAGCATATCGACAATATCCTTTCCCCCTATCTCTCTTACGTTATAAATGAGATATATAGAAGCGTTATCATACTTTGGGGGCGAGCATGACATAAGCTGAAAGTTTTCACCCAGCTTACACAGCCGTTATAATGATCTGCTAATATGAACGCAACGGAACATAGCCCTCAGACAAAGGTAGCCACTTCTGGCATTTTGTCATCTCGTTTATTTAAAGTGATAATCTCCGAATTAAAGTTTTCGTCAACGAACAAAATATCCATTCAAAGTTGCAACGAAATAACCTTTTATTTCCTCAAATATCGTTAGGTCCCGGCAATACACACGTGAAGGTAAAACTGTATCACTTTCTTCGTCTTTTCGCAGAATCTGAACTGTTGTATACGAAAACTTGCTTTTCAGCGTTGACTCATATCTCTCTCTGATTGAGGGCTGCGAAATGTTAGACAAGTAACATTTTTTCGAAAAATATATACTTTCGAAATGTAGAATTTTCTGGATTTTATACTTTCTCCAGTATTTAAAGATAATTTCTCTAAATTCAGTATGTCTAACCGGGTATAAAGAACGTGATCTAAAACTTTATTGATGATGATGCTCTGCGTCTCGTCAAGTATATCCCAGGTCGATCATCCCGGCGATTGGATCAGTTGAAATCTGAGTCGGATCCGATACAGGTCTTCTCGATTTCGTAGGTATAACTAGCCTTTTTCAGGGGTTCACAATAATACAACCATTTGGAAAACGTCTTTGGGCAAAACATCGTTCTATTTTTCGTTCTCCCACATAAGTATGAATGTGAGGAGGAAAACGAAACGGCCATTTCGCCCAAGGACATTTTCTAGAGAATATTCTTCATAGATACCTTTTATCAGGTAAACGTACAAGCCGAATACTGCAGGTGATACGGTTTGTCATAACAGATCGACCATGACGCATGGATTGTTTTTTGTTTCCTATTCTGCCAAAAATACTTCGCGTATACCAAAAGCAGTGTTAGTGACACTTTCACTCTATAGAAGCCTTCAAGAAATTAATTTTCTCTACAATCTGATAGAAAAAAGGCTCTATCTTTCTATGTTATTTGATAGTATTTGAACTAATATTATGATATTAAATTATTTACAAAACTTATTTTGGCACGACGTATGCTAACTGTAATCGATGGTAATATATTTTACAGCATGTTTCTTCCACTTTTTTCTCTTAATTCTTTCTCTTCTATGATAATAAATTATCGATCTACGTATGTGCATATATGTAGAGATAAGCGAGCCACACGTTTATTCAGCTTAATATGTATCTGAGATGTCCACAGGGCAGGGCAGGGCAGGGCAGGGCAGAGCAGGGCAGAGCAGGGCATGGCAAGACACGACAGAGCAGGGCAGGGCAGAGCAGGGCAGAGCAGGGCAGAGCATGGCAGAGCAGGGCAGAGCAGGGCAGAGCAGGGCATGGCAAGACACGACAGAGCAGGGCAGGGCAGAGCAGGGCATGGCAGGGCAGAGCAGGGCAGAGCAGGGCAGAGCAGGGCATGGCAAGACACGACAGAGCAGGACAGGGCATGGCATGGTAGGGCTGCCCTGTCTGTAAAATAGTCAGGAAGGGTACGATTTTTTTGTCCTACAATTTTAACACAAGCTTTCGCTAACAATAAATAGGGATGTGCGGTGTCAGTTTACTGACCGCTGACATTGCTTTCTTAATAAATAAAACGTATTCTACCCATTAGCTCTGCGTTCTGTTCGTTTGCTTGTTCTATTCACACAATTTTCCTCGTTCTGTTTATATTTTCTACATACATCTACACTTTCTGTACGTAAAGTGTACTATGTTTATCCGATCATTCACTTTTTTTGCTCTTCTAATTGCTCTTTCTTTATTTTCTTCATGCAATATGTTCCCATGCGCCTCGCTAGTTCAGAATGTAAGTATTATGTAATAATCAACGCTCTATCATCTTTGTTTTATTTTGCCATGCGACTGATGTTTGATGCATGTATTCACTCTCTCATTTTCGTTTGTATGTATAGATTTACTGTTTCTTTTTATCGATCTCGATATATCCATATCATATATTCACATTTTCTTGTTGTTGCCTGAATTTTATTTCGCTCGTATCCGATCTATAAAAGGTGTCGTTTGTCTTTGATTAAACACATTTTTCCGTAGAGAATCATTACGCTAGATTTGTACCCATCGTGTCCAAAAACGGAGAGAACATCGATGATGTTGCATTATTCATTATAATTGATGAAATTCGATGTTCTGTGTGGAATCACTGATGAAAAACGATGGAAAGCTTCACAATAATACTTTTTTCATCAGTGATTCCACACAGAACATCGAATTTCATCAATTATAATGAATAATGCAACATCATCGATGTTCTCTCCGTTTTTGGACACGATGGGTACTGATTCTGCATTGGTGATCATAGATTTTCGCTGAGTTACACATAGGTTGTTTAGATTAGAATAATGTGTTTGTTAAATCTGATTTTCATGTTTCAGTTACTCTGCTGATATATTCATTCGTGAAAAATACACTGTTACTTCGATCATCATTCGATACGATCGTGCTTACCATTCGATTTCCTCGTTGAGCAAAGTTATAATGTTGCAACCAATTTCATATGCATTTCAAAATTGTGCGATTATCGACACCGACAACAATGAAAATCACGAATTTGTTCAATCTGAGTAAGTATCTTGTAACACACCCACAAATGAATATTATTCTTAATTTGAATTAAACGCTGATGCTGATTTCATTCGTCGACAACGTCACACGAATAGAGATGTGTTTTTAAATTGAAAACTACAAGTAGCGCTCGCCGTGCCGACTCACTTAACCCTCGACTGTGGAGGACAGATATTTGTTTCGTGTCTCAGTTGTGGGACAAATTCATCTAACAATTTCATACACGAACAAACTATTCAAATGTTTTGCGCAGATATATATATTTAGTAACTTTCGAAAACAAAATACTGAATTTTCCTTACTCTTTTTGAAGAGGCATATAAAAATCTCAATTCTATACTACCAATGCAATATGCAATAAGTGGAAAGGAACGATGACGCAATACAATAAGCACTAGGACCACTTCAATCGAATAACGTCACAATCGTACACAACATATCAAATGCGCCACGAAACATACACAAGAGTCAAAAATATAAAACGTGAAACATCAATCTTAGTCTGCTGAAAGTCAATGTCACTTTCCAGGCATCTTCACCCTCACCCTCTACATACTTCAGCCCATCCACTTCACTACCACGAGACCACACGCTATTCCATCTAGAAATAGGCAACTCCGCGAAAAAGCAGCTCTAACTCCGATTTATGAATCCAACTGGAACAAACACTCAACTACAAAAGAATATTTTTATCATTAATCTAAATTTACTACGAACACCAACAATAATCATCACCTACTCGCAGAAGTTTTATTTCTTTGTCGTTGTAAGATTTCCATATATTTAATAGGTTTAACTCATTCGATTAGGATTACATATAACACATGTGATTTTAGCTGATGTAGCCTTTGATATCTTTATTTTTTGCTTTCAGTCCATTTAGCTACGGTAATACATATGATTATTTGTCGTTCTCCTATTACTCCTAAGATCAATTACAGTTGAATGAAAGCTGGAACACCCTAGCCATTTCAACTGCCTTCTCACACCCTCCTAACTATCCCGGCCCCACCTCAGCTTCATATTCCATTATAAACAAATCAACAAGAACAGAACACCAAACCTACATAATATCCTCAACTCAGGGAACACAACCGCCGATCACCTATGTCCACACACCCACTCCAAAAGAACCAATCGACGACCCTCATCCATACACCCATATTTTCACCCACACCCACACCCACACCCACACCCTCATCCTCGTGCATAAGAAGTAATGAATAAAAACAAAATGCATGCAGAAATTACGGATGGTCCTTCACGTTTACTCTACTAATAATTTCTCTACTTGAGTTACATAACAGCAAAGTAAGGTAAATGTACCATCGATAGTGGAAAATCTACGACAAGGCATCCTTTTTCATGCTATTCTGTATTTTTCGACAAAATGTTGTTCACCCAATAACATCGTATTCCTTTTAGTTCATAGGGATTGTTGAAGAAAGTACGTTGAAAATAACAGATCTAATTCTATCTTGGGTACACAAGTCAATATGTTTGTAAATAACTGAACTTTTAATGTCTTTCCATACTATAATCGCCGACGTCCAATACTAAGCTGGATATATTCATCACAACTCCAATGTAGTTGTTTATCAGCAGACTATCGGCATCTTTCGCTGGATTGAGTTTTGGTTTACCGAACGAGTCGCCTCGCTTTTGAGTAATCCGATCGATGCGTCTTCTATGATATTCTTTCAGTGCACCTGGGAGACGTATAATATGCCCGTTCGATTTAGGATACATTATTGCATCCAACTCTTGCAGTCGATGCCATGGCACTCTTGGATATCGATGATGAGCGTTATGATAACCGTAGTTCAAAAATATCATATCCATGATACGACGAGTCAATGTGTTCCGACCAAACACTGTAGAATAGGTCGTTTGTTGTTCGTAGTCAGGATCGTGCTTTGGTGGTAGCGTACCTCGTGACACAATCTGGAAAGTATGGTGATAGGCGTCATATACACGCATGACGTCGATGAACAGCACATGTGCTGCAAAGTAACACACCAGCGAAATTGGTCGTATACACCACATGGTATAGAAGAAAGTATGTCGTAATACAAACACGATGACAATTCGCTTACGTAAGTGTTGATATTTGTGTACGTACAATGGTACGATCAGTGTGCGCCACCAGGATATAAATGATAGCACTGGGATGTAGCAGGCTTCCAGTGGGAGTATTAAAATCTGTAACCAATGTGGCCAAGTCGACAAGATATGTGAGACTTGATACGAGTCTATCCCCACCTGAACAGCATGATGCTCATTGTGCTGTCGTTGTAACTCAGTAAACGGTACGTATAACGCTCCCGATATCACCAAGGTAATTTCGCCAACTACATGATTAAGCCATGTTGACTGGGCGATACAGCTATGCGAGCATTCGTGAGTAAGTGTCAGTGCCACAATCATAGTGTGCATAAGCAGTATGGTTGCCGCAATCAAAATCAACAATGAATTCATGCACATTATCAAATATAGAGCCGCTACATAGCCACCCACCATATACGTGACAATGACGGCGTTGATCAACGTATTATGCAAACGCAAGCGAACCATCTCGTCATGACTAAGTTTGAGATATGGTACGTATGCCTCATTCTGCTCATCACTGTCTAAACGAGCTGTTCTCTGCACAGTAGATTCACAGTTTCCCGAAGCGATCGTGTATACCATAGTAACAAAAAATAACAGAATAATGAGAATTGAAACAGATTTTTAAATTTTTCTCAAACTGATATATGAATGCGACGTTCTAAAAACAAAAAACAATCAAAATCGATCGATAAAATTGTATATCATTTTACGCAAGAAAAACATCAAACGAATATGTATAAAAGTTACGACAAGCAAACTTGTTCTTAGCAGACAACTGTTAGAAACAAATTAACCAGTATTATAATCACTTTTCAAACACACGTTCACCGCAACATGCAAATTAAAGGTGAAGCAAAAACAGTATGTATTCATGCTGAAATCATTGGAAAACTACTGCTGAATTTTTATCAGTTATAGTAGCTATATAATAGTTCCCTTATTGAAATATCCCCAAAATCTGCAACTTTCATATCAGAGTTAACGTGCGTATTCGCTACTAATTCGAATGACATAGACACTAGTAATCGACAAAAATATTATGTAGACGTGTGATTTATAAAATAATATGAAAAATATAATTTCCCTATTTTTGATAGGCACCGCTATATCTACACTGATAACACGATTCTATTGTCACCAATATGTACTATCGTTGATTCTCATATTAAAATAACCGCGCATCTGCACGACAACGCTACATCCTAGTTTTTTCATACGCTTTGTTCTATAAATATTCTAAACAAAAATTTCAGTAACGTTACAGACAGTTAAATAAGATTTATTCGTCAGAAACTGATGATTCGAGCGTCTTTGCTAACAATTGCGACAATAAATCTTAAGAAAAACTTGCTTTGATTTGAAACAGACCAGCAAGAATGGCAAAAAAAATGCAGCGATTTTTTCACTGTATCCAGGTGAACAAGATGAAAACAAAATTGATGTTGTGATGCCTAAATAATGCACCACTTATGGGAATAGAAAGCTTTCATCACAAAGATAAACAGTGCTCGCAGACGTGAAGACAAACTTTCGCTTTTGCCGTTGAGGATTATCAATGTACCCAAAAGCAAATCTACTAATAGAATCGATCAATCTGTTCGTCCATTAGCACGATAGCTTCTGTAAAGCTAACCTGATTGTCATGAAATTTTGCATATAGCATCGTCCCATCGATATACGGGTGAAGGTGATTGTTTTTTTCTATCAATCGCACACATTTGAGATAAATAGATAGATGCAGAATAATTTCACGTAGGATACTGATGTTTTATTAAAGACAGATATGTATTCGTCTCAAACCAGGTGTTGAGTGGTTTAACATCTTCCCTTTTTTAGAGATAACGATGAACATTTTTATTTCAATTCTACTGTTGACATTTGTCCATTTTCATGATATTCTGCATTATCATATCTTTTATCGTCTATTTTACACTTTGGACCTATAAAACGAACATTAATATATGCATATTGACACTGAGACAAACATTTGTGTGTCTGCAGCGTTGATTGCTTACCGACAGTTGTTTTTGTCCATAAAAATCGAAAAAACGAATTCGTGCAGTGTAAATAGAGACCGAAAAATACGAATAGAAGCATTGCTGAATTTGTTTCTATCGTCAAAGCAGTCGTTCGATCATTGAAGATCACATATATTGGTAACGGGTGTGTACTTGGGTACGATTCTCGTAAAGATTGAGGTCAATACCCTTACTCGCCGAACAGTTTCGACTATTCAATTTTATGGATACCAACATGAGTTTTTCAAACATTTGTTAATCCATTAAGTCATATAAACATGGTGACACGTTATCTGTGATTTTTTTCAGTTCAAATTTAAGTATCTTTAGAGTCTATATGAGAATGTAATATACTCGGATGTTTTGTATCGAGAGAAAATTTTAAAACAACAGAAATTAAACAGAACAGAATGCAGACTAATTATAACTAGTTTTGCATATTCGACACAATCATCTGACATGCAAGTAGCATTTGATCGAGAAAGACGTGGCGTAGTCACTGTATTATAAGTTCGAAAAGAAAAGAAACGTTTGCATCCTTCTCTATCATTTTGATATACTTTGTAACAATAGATTTTATTTGTTAAGAGAATAAGATCTGTTTATTTTTGTTTGCGTTCGCAATGAACTCCTGAAATGTCTTTTTATTCCAAATTTAAATCTAATCGTTGAACTTGATTATTTCCCTGATCAGCGACATAAAGATTTCCTTTCACATCGAATGATAAATCGTTTGTATTATTCAATTAATTTTCTTCACACTAACGCATTATTCGATGCTTCCAATAATCTGCAATATAAATTTGCCCGAAATCATCGCAACTATATTCCATGAAGATAATTGAACTGATTAGAATTATTTTCTCATGAGTAAACTAACTACAATGACTCCTTAGTTCGCATCTTTTTCCCGTTTCTTTACAGGTCCATTGTTTAATCTGAAACATAAATCGATTGTTCATTATTAACAAAGACAGAAGTGAGCTGATCAAATTGATTCAACTGATTTCCTTTTCCATTTCCACCAGTCATTGATGTTGCTTCTCCATTTTGCCATCTTCTAATTTCATTGAATTCTTGATCACAAACATGACGAAATTCGTATTTATCCAATGCTACATCCGAACAATAAATATTTTCGATGAGAATTTCTTGTTGGCTTCGATCTAACCATACCATCGAACGACTCGTTTGTTTGGATAATCAGCAATGATCAATAAATGATTTTATTCATCAATAACTACACTCTGTTGTCGTGCTAATCGATCAACTCTATTTCCATATCCATTTTCTCCAACAATATTTTTCCCCATTTGCTCACAATCATTAGACTCTATTTGTAAAAAGAAAAAAACGTTTTCTCAACGCTTCCAATCTAGTTCGCGAATATTTAACATCGAGAAGCAACATATATTCTCTCACTGACTGAAACAATTGTGAAAAGTATGCAAATGAATATCGTAAACGACAAGAAACGTCTCTTATACTTAGTAAAGAGATTCGCGCTACTGTTTCTGCTGTGTCGACCTTTCGAGTTGCTGTTTGCGTTGTCAATATTGATATTGTTGAATGTTTTTTTTTTAAGATAAACAGTCGGAATTAGAATGACTAGTATAATTGTAATAAGTAATACTCTGGTGAGTATAAAACACAATAATTTTCTTTTCCTACTATATGAACATCTAAAACAGAAAAATATTTTTAATCATTCGCTGTACAGTTAAATATGAGCATACGTTGTTCTCGAACAAACGTTAGACATTTGTGCTGAATTGCAAGTGTTCGATGAGGACTAAGACGATCATAGAAAATAAAAATTATGTCGTCGTGTTTGATTTTCCATTATAAATACACTTAAAACGCAATCTTCGATTTGATCGCTTCGCATGATTAATGTTGTATTGATTTTTTAGATGAAAATCTAAACATAAAATTCGATTACATGATCTATCATAATATCGTATGCTAGATTATTGAATGTGCCTCCGAGTTCAACGATGGTTTTCTTATATTCGAACAGCGATTTGACTATAAACTAAATCTACTTGGTGACAATAGACAAAGTTCAAAGTATATTTTTTAAAATGGATTTCTTCAACTGATTGTAATGCTGAAATGAAGAGATGATTTTTCTTTTCTTTCTAATAAATATTCGTCGATTGTCAATATACTTGTAAATAACATCAATCAATTTCTAACATTATTCAACTGTTTTGAAGTAGAATAAGACATGAACATTTATTCATAGATTATTTTAAAAATTTAGAAAATAATCAATCATTGATAGTTAAATTGTGAAATAGCATACAAATACGAATCTATCATTAACTATTTTATGAGTAAAACGATAAATTAATAGAATGAGTTAAATGAGTTAATATAGTCTTATTACTCTTATTTCATCATGCAATCCAACCATGGAACAAAATTTAGTAGACAGAAAGTTTCACCTGACCTTGATTCGGCTTGCGTATAATGGGGAAAGATATTCTACGTCTTTTGGAAGTACTTTCGTCTGTCAATACACTAAATCGGGTACATTTGAACTGTATTGTGATTACCGGCTGGCTCTCGATGAAAGTACATTTAGTGTGACAATCGAAGTCGAAGAAATGATTGATGAGATGCTCAATCACGACTTGTGACCTCTATAGGATCACTCTCCTAAGCTTAGTAGACTTTGACGGTGCGCAGAATTATTTAGACTAGAGATACTTCACTGTGTTTGTTATGCTCTCACTCTACTGCTTTCATTTCTTACGATATTTCAATTTTTCTTATTTGATCATCTTCGGTGATGAATGTTATTAAAGTAAATATATATAATATAAGAGTTCATGCGTCTCCGAAACTAACCAAGCTCTTATTTGTATTACCGATGTGTGTTTTATTTCTAGCCATATATATTTACATTTTTATTGTGTTACAAAGAATGATAGAATCGACCTCCTGTGCATTTTAATCAGTGGGTAAAAATTCGCATGCAGGTAATGGATCACTATATCGTGTGGGTTTTGACCATACTTATGATTGGTGAAGTGAAAGGTAAAACAAACCATCTATCCGAACAAATCGGATGGAAATATTAGAACTTGTTTTTACTCATTGCGAATGAATGAATGCTATGTAAAAAAGATTTGACTAACAAGTGAAGTTAGGTTTCCTCAATTCAGTAGTCTATCAACTTCTTTGCCTATTTTATAACTGAACAATTTATAAACTAGATCGCTGCTATGTTCTTTTAGCTGTATCATACAACCAGCCAAAATTCTGTCCAAATGCGACGTGGAATCCCAATGCTACTACATTTGCCGCCGTCAATATTGTTGGTTTGTCTCCTTATTCTCTCTTCGTTGACACCAATGATATTGTTGTCACAGTGAATCGGCATAAAAATCAAACTCTTATCTGGGCGAATGGAAGTGTCAATCCAACTACTATTCTTCCCACGATCTTCTCGGATAATTGGAGTGTGTTTATAACAGATACGAATGACATTTACATTGATATCAACTACAACTCCGTCAACTATCGAGTAGAGAAATGGGGATTGAATGGAACGCAATCCTCGACAAATATCACTGTTTCTGGAGAATGTGGTGGTCTCTTCGTTGACATCAATAATACTCTCTACTGTTCGATGTATTATGTTTATAAAGTCATTAGTCGATCATTAAATAGTTCAACTAACAGTTCCATCACTGTCGCAGGTGATGGTAATTCTGGATCTACGTCGACGAGACTGAATAGACCTAGTGGAATCTTTGTCACAGTCAATTTTAAGTTATATGTGGCTGATTACGGCAACAGTAGAATTCAATCCTTTGAACCAGGAAACTTGACCGGAACAACCGTGTCTGTCAATGTATTGACATCACCCAACACACTCAATGGTCCAACAGGAGTTGTAATGGATGCTGATAACAATCTATTTATTCTCGACAGTTCCAACAATCGTATTGTTGGTTCAAGTGTGAATGGTTTTCGATGTATAGTAGGTTGTTTGGGAACAAGCGGCTCAGCATCCTATCAATTGAATTCGGCGTGGTCTTTAAGTTTCGACAGTACTGGAAACATTTTTGTATCAGATTCCGGTAACGGTCGTATTCAGAAATTTGCTTTATCAAAAAATGATTGTAGTAAGTGAAAAACATCCTTGTCAGTAATACGAAGATCGAACAGAAAACTTATGGATATTATCAGACTTGCGCAGTTACTCATTATTCTCTCCGTTTGTCTATTTCTTGTAGATCAACCGACGACAACAATAGCAGCAACTGAGTTAACAACATCAGTCGCAACTACAACTGACCAGTCATCATCTACAAGCCAGCCGAGTTCAACAGATGAATGGACTTCAATGTCGACCACAGGCCAAAGTGTGCACGTCGCAATCCGTTGATTGTAACGATTTTCTTTGTTTTACTTTATTTGTTAGTTCAAACCTCTCCGGATTCAATCACATCAACAACTGTTCTCGGTCAAACAGGTATGTCATTTATTGATGATCACAAACAACCAGGGAGATATTTTGCACGTGTTCTATGTCTTTTGTAGGATCAACATCAACTACCACTAGTTAGTCTTATGTTATTCAACTTTAAAGTGGTTGAGCATGAACTTTTTTCCTAATATTCACATAGGTTTGATCTCAGCCTTCTCTGCCAGCACTTCATCCGCTACGATCAATTGTATCTTGACTACTACTGATGTTCATCTAATTAACGATCTGTTTGCTCATTCTAGTGAATTCATCCAATCTTCTCTTCATTACATCACCATGTGCTGATCAACAATGGACAGGCGTCTATTGTAATGTTTCTAATAGACCTTGTGACACGATCAATCCATGTCGAAACAGTGGCAGTTGTTTTAATGATAATACTACTGTTGATACTTATCTTTGTCAATGTCTACAAGGATTTGATGGCTCCGAATGTCAAAACGATCGACGAATATGCAAGCTAAATACATGTTTCAATAATGGTATATTTTCATTCAAATCTGCGACTAACATTTTCTCATATTTAGGGCAATGTAATGAAACATCCAACCAGACCTACGAATGTTTATGTGCATATGGTTGGGCAAATGCACATTGTGAGACTCAAATCAATTATTGTGAAAAGAACAAGTGTAAGAACGGTGGTGTTTGTCGGTCGTTATTTCTTAATTACACATGTGATTGTCTTGGAACGAGTTACTCAGGTCGCCATTGTGAAGTGGTCGGACAGGCAATGATTGCTCATCAAATAGCTGCCAAATCGTTAGCATACGTTGCTATTATATTTATCATTGTTTCAGTGATGTTCTTTATTCTTATGGACGCTTTAAAATATGTTTTAGGCATCGACCTAGCAAAAGAAGAAACAGACAAAATCAAAAAAGAAAAAAAAGCCAAGCGGAAATCCACTCGAAGACAACCACCAGTGTTCCAAAAGTTCGTCTACGTTGATTCGGCAACAATCGCGGGTCAATAAACTCTTGCTATGAATGAAACTATGATCAATCATCAAAATGTTGAAGGATGAGGGCGAGGGTACGAGTAAAATATAAATATTCATACACATACCCTACTAAAAAATGCGAAATAAAGAAGTTTCCAACAGTTCATTGACAAATGGTGAATAGAATCATAGGTGCACTGAAACTTACTATAAGGTTGGTTTCCCAGAATTGACACGTTGTAAGAAGTGTAGAAATCGATATAGACACTACTGATGAATCGGTTGTCATGGATGAATATGAATATGTTACCGTTCCATTTTCAAAGGAGAATGTAGTTGAATACCGAGGAAATTTCGTTCTAAATATCGAATTTGTAGTTGTCAGAGATTCGTCGTAGAAACCCAAAGCTTTACGCAGCGAAGAAAGATCATAGTTTTCTTCAGTGTTCACTTGCAATTTTGATATAGTAGCTAAGCTGTTGTACTGGCGATAACCACGAAAGAACTATGAGTAAAGAAAAGTCAAATTAGATCTCGAATCAAATATGCTCTGGATAAGATGTTGTCTTGTTCTTAGAAGATATGACTAACATTATATCCTTGTCAGTTAACTGGTCCGATTGCTGGAACGATCTCCAAAGTGAATTCTGTTTCAAAGACTATGAAACTCACGTGTTTTATTTTTTTCACCTACAAGCAGTTGAAAACTAATTTCGAAAAAACTATCAAACTTCCCTTGAAAGAGCCAATCAGCACAGTCGAGTTTAAATTGTTTTTTACGTCCATCAGAATTTGAATATGAAGTTAACAAAACATGAGCAGTGAATTTACCATCTTTCCTGATATATCTCACTATATTGCCAAACCTAACTACACTATCTGATACGTCTTCGTCTTGAAGCAAGCTACTGAATCGTAATGTAATTGATTGCAGAGTAGAAAAGGCTATATGTACACGACATTCAGCGTAAACAGTGTCCATTTCACAAGCGTCGAACCATTTCTTCGAAGCATTGCGACTAAAAGTTTCGATAGGTAGATATTCGAAATTGATACATAATAGACTTTGAACACTTCAAAGTGTTCCATGAAACGAAATAAAAATCCAGATTAGCATCATATCTGAAAAACAACGAATTTTCTTTTTATTAAAACGAACTCCTTTGATGATTGTAACCAGACGCTCAAGAGCGACGCATGCATTTAACCACTTACCCATAATAAGGTCAACTCGTATTAAAAAGTCCAGGCCAGAGTTCGACATTGAATTTGTAAAAAGAAAAAATTTGCCACATTGTAGTTTGTGTACTGAGAAGTACAAAGAACTTAATGGCAAACATACTTGTAAGAAATAATATTGTCATTGATGAACAGAGAAGATAAATTACACAACTGATCTGTTTTAGTTCTTTTTGTTTTGATTTTAACATAGACTCACTCGACCAATCATTGGCTGTTGTTTTACGGACACAAATGGCTGAATATGATAGCCGAGAATGACATCAAGGAAAGTCTATGCCCATTGGAAGTGAATTCACACCGGGATTCGTAGAAACATGACAGACAAACACATGGATGTTTGCGGACAAGTTGAACTATCTTATAAACAATGACCACCATTTTCACCGATATTTCGACCAGAACAATCATGTTTTAATGTGATTATACCATCTTGATTAAATCTAATTCGATGTGAAGATAACTAATATAGAATTTTCTCTCCATCAAATTTCTCAAAATAAATGTCGTTTTAGAAAGAGAACAGCGTTTTTATTTTTACGATTAGATAAAAATCAATATGATATGCAAAATCACTATTATAAAATTCTATATAATGACAAGGTATAGAAGACGACAAAATTAATTGCTTTCTCATTATAGAATTCTTCTGTGAGCTCAAAATGATCTTCTTTTATAATTTTTCTCCTTTGTTGCTCAAGGTTTCGCATGAGTAAGAAAATATCTTTGAAAATTTTTCTGTACATTATATATACGTCTTCGTTGATGGTCTTATCAATCGTACTACTTTCTGATTATAAAAATAAGAAGCAATACATCTGATTCCATGAAAAATTCTATGAATTCTAGTGATATTTTCCAATGACAATGTTCTCAAACTCAGAGTGTACTTTATGGATATGTAGTTAAACAAGAGTTTCTTTTTGACACACTATTGCTCATCTAAAATATCATTTTTCATTATAAAATCAAGTAAAATGTTCTATCTTTATCTTAGATGTTTTTTAGTTCTAATTCTTTAAAACGTGAAATCAATCATAAAATCCTACAAAAGGAACTAAATGATAAAAAAAGACAAAATTCTGCCTCTCTCGGAAGTGTAGATAAATCTATTCTTTTTCATCATAATGCTCTATTTGATTACTGTATACGTTTGAGTTTATTGTTAAAAAAATGGTGATACACAAAAAAAATATTTTATTGAGAAATTTTAGCACGAGATGGGGCAGGATAAATGTTACTCAATCAATCTCTGAGCTGAGTTCTGGGGGTTCGTGTATGTTAGCGACTGAAATAATAAAAATGACAAGAAAATTGAAAGAAAAAAAGATGTTATATGAAACATAATGTTTCATTGATTTAAATAATTGTAAAACAAATGATTGCTTAGAGACATCGGCATTTGGGTAATTTTCTATTTGCCCAAGTATAAAATGGTACTTCAATATAATGACGAGCAAATACAGCTATACCAATACCAGCAAAGAATCTCATAATTGCACTCTTTTCAGTGATGCCCGATATAGATAAATATACGATAGGTAGTGTTTCAACTAGACAATAAAATGCATATGAAATTTCACCCATATCTATCATTAGTGATGTTGTCAATAATCTCGACGTTATTGAGTGAGTATATTTAGCAGAAAAATATAGATCAATACATACAATGATTGAAGGCAAAGGTCCAAATCCTATAATGTATCGATACTTTGTATGCATCAGATCGATGAATAACAATGGAGAGAGAATAATAATAAAAAAGAATATTTGTAAAGCAAAACAAATATCAAATATTAAACAATTATAATTATAATTCAGGATATTCACTTTCGAAGATGACATTTTTTGAGCTTGTTGTTGATCATTGTTATTGGATAATAAAGCAGTAGCTACATTGGTCTCTGAGCCATCTATATAATAATCTGATGATGCGTTTAACATGAATATAATACCTGTTATCATTCCTAGAATAAATTCAGGAATTCTTGTTATTGGGAAAATATAAATCATATTCGTTTGCCTATGAGTAAGTGATACAGTTAGGTCATCGTGTAAGATCAGTCGAATTAGAAGGAAAATTGTTGATATACATAAAACAACGCACCACATTAAATACAAACGTTTCAGTGTCTTTTTCTTATTTTCAACATGTGAAAGAAGACTGATTTGAGTTGTATTTAATAAGTATCGAATTAAACGAATGAGGAAAGGAAATGTTAAATAGAAAAACCACTCTGTTTGCACACTCCAAGTGACGAAATTCCATCGTTCAACATTAAACACGTATGGAATCCATGTTGTTATAATTAATAATGTCGATAATATATAAATCCAATTTGATACTGTGCACGACATTCCTTCACTCCATACACATCTGATATTGTAAATGGATAAGAGCAGTGAAAAGTAATACAAAGGGAATAATCGAGAAGCTCTTCGTCCGATAAAAGACCAATAACATCTTGCTGATTTAAATTCACAGTCGCCATAATTCCATACCATAATAAAACCGCTTAAGCAGAAAAACACTGCAACACCTGCTTCTCCAGCATAACCGACCCATTTTATATTTAATGCAACAAGTTCATCCATATCTTTTAGTCCACAATGTTCTATAAACACCCACAGGCATGCTAGCGCTCGAAAGCCTGTGAAAACATGGATTATTGGACGACGAAGTGATTGTTTGTTATTATTTTTCAATTGATTTTGTTCAGTAGTTATCGTAGGTGTAAGTTCCATTTCGTACTCTGGGAATAATTTTTATTTAAGTATATGTATTATTTTCTTATTTAGTAATCAGCGATACATCTATAATATAAATACTAAATTGAATGATAATAATTTAAAGGAATTATAGGGAAGATATATTACATATCAAGAAGGAATTGATATAGTAGATCGTTTCAATGTTACTTAATACTTACCTAAAATATTAGAAACAATATATTTGTCTGCATTGATACTTATATAAATATGAAATACGGAAATCTACGCATATCGCCTTTTTTAACGACTGTGTCGCAGTTATGCGTAATTTTGACGCAGTTACCGCAATCAGCATTAAATAAAGAGTCTCATGCTCACTGCGACGCATTTCCGAACGCACTTACGGCGCAGTACCGCATTGTCTATTGGATCATTTTGAATAATAACGATTATTCTCTCGAACAGGATATAATAGGAAATTTAATGGATGTTTTTAGTTCATTGTCAAAATATCAATCTTCCAAGGTAAGCGATACTTAACCTATACATGAGTCATTTATAGAATGAGCCATGGTCATATGCGGACCAATTAGGTTTCAAATATCGCTTTCTCGATTCATGATGTTTTAGATACCATTTTGTGAAGTAATAAGTATTTGGCGGCTGTTTGTGATGAATGATGGGCATCAATTGGTGAGTGGTGTGTTAGTCCTATCCGAGTAAAAGAGTGATCGTGATCGTTAACATTTGCGTCCTTCCTATCATTGAACAGGATTTGTGCTGGAATCTATTTCCTAATAAGTGTTTTTTTTTCACACTTTTTCACTGTGTGTAAATATGTAATAAATATGACTGAATATAGCATAGTTGCTATTTACTGTAGCAATTTACTCATGAGATACTAACCGAACAGTGGCTAGAATAGTAGAAAGCAAGGTTGTAGGAAAATGCGATTATTTCGTCGCAAATGCGGCGCAATTGCACCGTAATTTGATCGCAATCGCAAACATGGGTATTGAGTTTATTCAAAAGCAACTATTAAACCGTTCAAATTATTGAAAGGGGTCCCTCACGGGAGTTGCATCGGCCCACTGCTATTCATCGTATATCACTATGATATCCTTGAAGCCTTATCAACAGCGCATTTCAAACATCTGGAAGCAACCGATCAATTTTGACAAGACGTATTGGACACTCTTTCACCGCCAGGTAGCTCCTCGAATTCCATCTATCGAGTGCGAAAGGCGCGTGATCCAACACGTAAACAAGTTCAAATATCTCGGTACGTTTCTGGATGCAAAATTATCCTTCAATATGCATATCGGTTTCATCAAGTCAAAAATCCACTCAAATCTCAACATCTTTAAACGTTTGGCTTATAGTCGGATGTTAAATGAAAAATCGAAATATCGTTTCTTCAACGCCTTCATCAGACCGCATCTACAGTCGCTGCTTAACTTCTACTAGATTCTGACGCCGATCAAACAGGAATCGCTCGAAGGGTTCAATCGCTGTCTAATTTAGCTAACAAGCATCAGGACAACTTAGTGGTAAACATCATACGTACAAATCCCAGTGTAATCGAAGATTTCTTGCAGCACAAGCTAGCGCTATTATACATGAAGGAAATTATGAACAATCCAAAGTTAATAAATGAGGGACGTAAAATCTTCAACAAAGGTAGACCTGGTAAAAACATGCGCAAGTTGGTGTCCGAAAACCGCCTATCGTTGTTGGACCATGCCCTCTGTTCGCATCATGTTGGGCTTCTGTAGAAAACATCCTTTCTCTCGCTCACTTGCTTCTCTTCTTCTCTACTTTTGTCTCTGTATGCTGTTAATACCAGTTTTTCATAGCAACTGTCTTCTAAATTCTACTAGGTTTTCTTTTCAGGGCACAGGAGCGAAGTTCGCTCATGGCCATTAAGTGTGTGAAGGACTGGTTTGTTCTCGGCACTTAGAATAAAATGCTATATGAAAAAAAAGCAACTGTTATAAAACATGTTCTAGATATGGTTTTCAATGAATTAACGCTGTTTATTATCTTTTGTTTAACAACTAATTTTCTTTGTTTTCGAATTGAAGATCCTACTTATCGATCTTGCGAAGAATAGCAGTTGAATGGTGTGCTAATTTGTTTGTATATAGGGCACTACAAAAGTTGTTTTCGCCTGCCTCGCTCAACAGATCTAAGCACGAGCTGACTATAGTACTATGACGCCCATATATATTTAGGACTATATGCAAAATTTCAGACTTATATCTCTAATGCATTTTTGGAATCCATCATATTTTCGATATCAAGTAAACGTAATTTCTAATGTACCACAGAATAGACATGATATTTGAATTATTGTACGACGATTTTCAATTTTTTAATGATTTGTGTTCGAACAACAAACTACACCACAAGATTCAGCGTTCAAAGCTCTATCATTGACACAAGATTGCCTTTCTTAACCCTTTGGGGACGGGTACCTGTTGAAGAAAACAAAACTTTTCAGTGACTCTATTACTCTATATCAGAAGCCGAGTTTTTAGAATTTAATCAGACTCATACTAGGAGCTTTTTGTCCTTTGAAATACTTCTGAACTTGTTTCGACGGCTCCTGTTAGATTTTCGCTAAATGATATTCAAAAGAAACCAAATTCGTGAGATATGCTCGGTGGTATATATAGCATCTCCGTGCCCAAAGGATTAATAGTCGTTATTTTTTCACCAGAAAAATAATTGAAGTTTCGATTGATTGTATCTTGAAATTCTCGGCAAATAACACAGGTCGTAAATCTTTTTGATCTTGATTCACACTTTCTTCACCTGCAAAGATCGCAGAGCTTCTCACATTCTATCTTTCGCTATGTTTTATATTGATTTAACAAGATACCTCAGGTAGTAAAGCGATGAAAAACGCAAAATAATGCCTATTTCTTGCTGAACCATGAAATCTGACCAAATTTACTGATATACGTATATAGCAGTGGGTAGATTACAACAATGTACTAGACTTATATGTCTGGAAGTTTGCATATAGTCGTAACTATACGCGAGCATTGTAACGCAATAATCAGCTCTTACCTAAATTTCTCAAGGGAGGCAAGCGAAAAAGCTTTTGTAGTGCTTCACCTATTTATATAATCGGAAAATAGTTATGAAACTATAATACGTGTGAAGATTGCAACTACAAGTAAAGCTCGATACAAGATAGACTTGTTTATAAAAGTATTTATTTTCTCAGGATTTTTATCTTCTCGCTTGAGGACTAAAGTTCTCCTGAGTAGATTTGTTACAGAAAATAATGAATATATTTCAAATACTCACGCAATATTATCGGCTCACTCACGTTGTATCATATACATATCATTGATAGATCGAAAAATACCGCCGAAAATGTAATTAGATACTTTTATCGAACGACCACTAAAATAATGCTTATGACTCACTGTGCGTGAGCCACGCCCGAAATTGATCAATTGAGGTTCTTAGATTTGGCTAATTTTTTTATATGCTATAAAGGAAAGTGATTGATGGATTCTGGCACAAGCCGATTTCAAAAATATTCAATCCTTTAGATTTTATAAGAGTTTTGCGAAGAACCTTGGATTTGAAAATCCCAAAAATTTGGGGGTACGAATAAATGCAGAGGAAGTCTAGATAAGGCTGTAGGGAAGACCTAGATGAGAGTGCATGAGAAGAATTAAGGGAGAATGTTGTAGCTATGGTAGAAATATGGTTAAGAGTGAATGTCACAACGGATACTCTCGGGATTTCGTTTTAAATGGAATTTTATGTTTTGAAATTTTTGGCAAAAAGATCTGTCGGCAAGGTGGTTGTCGGTAAAATGATCTTCGGCAAAGTGTACCTGTCGGCAAAACGGCATCGGCAAAGTGATTGTCGACAAAGTGTACCGAACTCAGTCCCTTCCCTTTGTAGCATATCAAAAAATTAGCCAAATCTAAGAACTTCAATTGATCAATTTCGGGTGTGGCTTACGTGGAATGACTCTTATATTCTTTTAACAATAAACTCTCCTAATTTTTTTTAGTACAAATCAGATTTTTATAGTAATTCAGCAAGTAAAGTACAGAGTGGACTCACGCGATATCAATAATAAGTGTGAAAAATCCGATCGAATGGTTGACAGATATTTTGCATTAAAAACACAGCAATGTCTAGTCGTTGATGTAGCCCAGAATTCGATAAACAATCCGCGCATAATGTCTGCTTTGTGTCGTTGGAAATAATTTAAAAGATGGTTACGATGTTATTTATTGAGTGATGACTGAATATGTGTTTCATTTCTGTCTCATGGTAAATCATTCTCGCTGATGACGAAGTCGCTTTATCCTTGGTTGGGAAAAACGAAGCGTGTCATACCCAATAACGAATATTTACTTATAGAAAATAGATGGAAGCAGTATACGTCTTGTAAATCATCATGTATAACGTCATAGAATAGGGAATATTCATAGCTATCGAAGTAATTCAATTATAAAAATGAGATTATTTTTGAATATGACGCATGTATATAGTTCTGTGAATGGGAGGAAATCGTCCATATATAGACGTTTAATTCAAAAATAAGATACTAACAAAAGGATATCCTCAGCTAATTTTCGCCTCATTTTGATATTTTCATAAAACCTTTCTAACACATGTTTTTAGTGAGTTTGCCTAATGATGATGATGGAAACACATTCTTACCGTTGATCTGTGTAAATAGATAACCAAAGAAACATTCATTTGTGAAAAATCTATCATACAACATTATTTTTACATGTACTAAAAGTTCCATCAAATTTTGCAATGAATCCAGGTTGCACATAAACATACAAATGACCTAACTTATCAAGTATAGTTTTGTAAGCATATATATATTTTTGTGTAATAGTAGACTGATTAACATAACATTCGTCTATAGCTATATCCTTAAATTTTCTATCGAATGACCATATGGTCATTTGCTTAACTTCAACTAGGATAATATAACCAGTTTTATCAATAGTTATTGAATACCGATCAATATCTATTGCACTTGTACTTGGAGACATATCAATAGGTGTTCCATCAATGATAGTTATTCCATATTCTGATCCATCAACATATTTTAAAAAAGGACCATCATAATATTTACTAGAATGAGTATAATGAATATGAACTAATAAATATGTAATATTATTAAATTCATCTGTTGCAAAATCGTGCAAATTTGTATTAACATCATCAAATACGTTAGTTTTATTTCAACGTGCGACAATAATTGCAGAAGAACTGTTATTNCAGAAATTCATATCTTCGATGTTCTCATCATCAGAGATGATTATCAGCCTAAGACTGGATCTAGGAAGGGTTTTGGCGGGATTTTGAAGGGTTTTTTCATGGGTTTTCCAATGTTTTCGTCTAGTTTCGACCCTGAATACGCTCTGATTTAATGCCGTCAACGCATTTTTACGTGTTAACACAAAGAGATTTCATTTCTATGTATTTGAGATGCGAATCATCCGTGAAACCTGTAGAACGAATAGAACAATTTAGTTGCAAACTGTTTTTCTTCTCGCTTTCTTCGTTCCGCTTTTATTGAAATACATCAACAAACGATTCGTCAGTGAAAATTACATCGGGCTCTCTATAATTCTCATAGTTTTTAATACCAGAAGGATATCGGCAGCGAACCACCTGTAGAAGCAAAGGAGGCCATTGGTAGTTGGCGTATTTGCTCGTGGTTTGTCCTTTTTGGAGACGGATCCCGTGGACGAGACGATAAAGATCCTTGTAGATTGCACGACGAGCTTCAGCATCCGCCGGGCTGTCGAGAGGATCATCGTGTGGAGGTGATGGTCGTGCCAGTGAAGCAGCAACAGCGCTGCTGTTGTTCCCTCGTGCTCGTCTGCCTCTCCCACGTCCATTTCCTCGAGCCGCTTGTGATTGAAGTCGTCGATCTTTCAGGATATTTTCCTGGTTGTCTTGTATAACCAGAATAGGGACGGATTCTTCACATTCATACTCTGTAGAGTAGTTCGACCCTTCCTCATTGCTGCTGGTGTCATTTCCATCTTAAGATTTTTCACTTAGGGAAAAGAATACGTACGGAATCGGTGAAAGAACTGTTGCTTGAGCATTCTTTCCGCTCGTCGGAGGCTCAAGGATCAAAGCCAAAGCCGTTGGAAAGGGGACCTCCTTGTCTTGAAATGTGGCCTTGAGAGCGTCGTAGAAGATTTGAAAATTTCTCATAATCTAAAAATATTCATAATCTTTTTCAGATAAAAAGCTCCATCTGAAAGTGTGCTGATATTCGATAAGTATGTGTTGAATTATCGAAAGTAACAACCTTCAAAGAAAATGAAAATATGCTGTCCTGAGAAAATATTCTTTTATTGTCATAGTAAAAGATAATATAAATGTGAAAAAAAGAGAATGTAGATATAAAAATAAGAAAATATAGATATAAAAATATACTGTTCATTTAGTACTCTCCAGCGCGATAATCATCAGTCTCTTCTTCTTCAACTTCTGGCGGCTTTATGCCTTGTTGCTGTCGCTCCTCTTTTCGACGCAGCTTCAGACGTTCTCTTTGAATCCGACCTTGATCGAGTCGATTGAGGCCGAAAGATGTGTAGACACCAACGGAACCTGTAAAATATGTTGTGTAATAAGTCAAGGGAGAACAGAAGATTTTGCCTACCACATAGTTGACGAAAGAACGGGCCAAGGGACAGATAACCTTCGTTGAAAACAACAACAGCAATTGAAACACATGCGTCCATAATTGTACCGCTGGTGTATCGATTTTTCGGTGCGAAAGTCCAGAGGACAGAATGAAATGCCTCATTGGAGTTTTGGCTAGCTCCATTCAACGCTCGAGTCAGTACTTCGCCTAGAAATTAGAATCAAATATCATAATGAAGGATCGAAAAAGAAGACTAACGGGAACATAGTTCTTCAAACACTGGCTTTATCGCCTCCATAATCGCCGGTGAAATTGCATGTCGTGTGTGGTCATATGGTTGTCCTAGAAGAAAAATTTGCTTTACACTTTTTGAGAAGGCAAAAATTCTTACGAGTAAGTTTGGCTTTTATGTAGCCACAAAATTTTGGATCGCACCATTCGTGGTGAGGATCTGAATTTGTTGAGATCTGACTGAGGAAAATCGTATCGATTACTTAAACGTTGAATAAGCCTTACTTTGTGCTTGAAGATAGCCCATGCTGCCTGATACATCATCTCCAAATCGGTTTTGTTTGAGGTGATCGCTGTGCAGTAATACCACTTAAGTTTGACCATGACCGCTAAGTAAAAGATGTGATTTTCATACAGGTGTTCAAAGTAAAACTTACCCTCTGTGATTCGACCCAACCCACCAATGCCTTTTCGACCTTCAATGACTTGGCCCTTCAGTTCTTTCTTTCTCTTGTCCAACCGATTATACATTTTCTTCGCGAAATGATTCAAATCCTCCAGTTTTTGAATTTGTAGATCAGAATACGGAGGATCTTCTGTCAACCGAGGAACAACCTTGGCGTCACCGTCCCCAATGTATCTGAAATTGAAGAAAAATCAGTAAATCATTTTTCTACAAGAGAATATCTCACTTCGCGTATCGGACGTTATGACGTTCGACAGATCGTTTGAAGATTGCATGAAGTCCGTTCACCTCCATCGAACCTGCAAGTTTCAAAGAGAAAAATCGGAAAGATAGCTTCGGACAGAACTAAAGAAAAATGTTACCTGAAGCGCCGGAAAAATTCGTTTGACATTCGTGTTGAGTCATGATCATCTGATATTTTTCCGGATTTTTAAGCTTGATCGACAAGGCGCCTTGACAAATGGTGCATCGCTTTGAGAGTCGTTCGATATCCAAAACCTTCGCACCGCAATTCGAAGAAATTACTGCGACGACTCCATGAGTGCTAGAAAAGCCTCTCTTCTGCCAGCTACCGTCACCGGAAACCGTCAGATCTCGAGTTCCTTGTTTTGTAACCGCTTCCTCCACCGCACTAGACATGGCAGCAACCTTGAACGATGACAAGATCGGTTCGATGTGGCGTAAAGTTTCTGTGAAGTTATCTTCATCGACAGGTGGGGGGCTGTTGAGAGCCGAAAGAAGTTTGCATAATCCAGAATGGCCGATTCCACTCAACAGTGCTCCTGAAAATAATCAGCACATTTTTCAACAAAGCAGGAATGATGTAAAAACTTATCAATCTCGAGAGTATTTTCGTAAAACTTAGAAATCTATTCCTATTTCCGAAAATTCATTCATCACTTGAGACCAGTTTTGAGCTCATTGTACCTGTAGTCGCGCGTAAATTGATTTCTCGATGGCGAGAATTCGGTGCTTGTGGAGACGTGCTCATGTTGATTATATGCGAACACTGGCACATGAATTCAATACTTGCAAACAGTCCTACAGCCGAAATTAAAATTGATTTAAAGACAGTAGAAGATTTTTCACCTTCTCTTTTTTTTACAGACATATTTCCATGCCACATTTCATGGCATGATGGACAGATCATTTGTTTGACGACATTGAGAAGAGATTGAATGTGAACCATTTGATAAAAGTCGAATGGTGCTTCATCTTCGACAGATACAGAGACGGTCTGGAGCTTTTCAAGAGAAGCTCCCCGATGAGAATCACTGGAAAACCGAGTAAAAGACGGAGTTTGATTGGAAGAGAGAGACAAACGAGAAAACGATGGTGTTGAAAAGGTCATCGAGGTCGATGCTTGATCGGCACGAGATAATCGACCTGAGGAAAAATATAACAATCATTGTGTTGACAAAAAAAAGAAACAATCATACTTGATGAAGTGTCGATAGACAGTGCCTTAGCGTGTATTGGTGATGGAGATCGAGTGGTACTGTGTCTCTTGAGAGTTAAAACAGAGCGAGGTGTCACATCGTTGGAAGAAAAGGAAGGTTCAATCGATGATAAACCATCAAAAGGTGGAATATTTTCTTTGAGAGCATCATGAACGTGGTGTCGAAGCAGAGTAGATGTTCGTTGTCTTGAAAATTTTCTTTTGGAGGGCATATTGATCTAAAAAGAACGAAACGTTGCACCTTGCGAACCGTTTATATGCATCTAAACCAAAATCTCTATTTTACATATTGGTTTATCATTTTAAACTGGCGCCGATCAACTATTTCTGAAGACATTCTCTGACATTGTCGTGTTCGTTACGACGCTGGATCCTCTAAAAAGAGCGTCGACCATTCCGTATTTGGCGCCACCGGCAATGTAAACAGAGAAATTCCCCTAGATCTAGTCTAAACCTGGTCGGAATTTAAAATAAACTGTACAGATCGATACAGTTTTTCACGCTCTTTCAAATGATGTATCATGTTCATTTTTTTGCAGAGCCCATCACCGACTATCATACTCGCAACATTGTTTTGCGATTTTCTCGCCTTTCGTTTTTTTGACGAAAATGATTGATAAAAATGTATCTAGTCCCACAATCTTTGACCGAAATTTTTCTATTTGGTGCCATTCGAAGGAGAAAACAAAACTCTACAATCGCATGTAACGGATTTTTGAATTTCGATTCCATAATTTAAATATTGAATTTTCAAGTGTTCGAGGTAGAAGTAAAAAAAAGAATTCTGTAGTATTTTTCAAATTCCGCCACTAAAAAAGAAAATTTCAAAAAACTGTTACATGCGATTGTAGAAAAAACATTTCTCTATCGATTGATGTCACTCCGAGCTCAATCGGATAAAAATTGTGGGAGGAGATACATTTTTCGGAACACCTACTTTTTTTGCACAAAAATATTAATATCTTTTTTTCTGAAAAAATTGATTGGATGAAACTTTGATAGTTTTTAAGTTAGGTTAGTATCTATTCACAAAAAAATTCTCAGCTCGATCGGTTCACAGGGAGCTGAGATCGATTTCTGAGGGGGGGTTCCCCCTTAAGAGCAGCACAAGAAAGTCTATCTGCAACAGTGACTAGTTTACTGTTTTATTTAAATTTCAGCATTAGTTTCTATGTTTATCTCAGCTCGTCAAAATCATTAAGAATTAAGTTTTTTAGAGAATTACTTTCACCATACAGTGGGTGTCGACAAGGGACACAAGCTGTTTCGATAAACACAGCAGCAGCAATCAATAATGCAGGTCAAACAGCATAATCTTCGACAAGAAACAGATCAAATATTTTCTTGTAATTCGTTGTTGCTGTTTATTGTGTACGGTTTTCTTTTCATAAAGAGAAAGGAAAATTATTTGATATACCTTATGATAACGTGGGAGGCCTGGTCAGTGAGCGTGTGTGTGTACGTGTGAAAAGGAGGAGCACTCATCCCTCAAACTATATAAAATGCATTGAATATCACATTGTCCGATTGACTCAAGCAGATTTCGGATTCCTGTTCGCTCTACGATAACAGAAACATGTGTGATGATTATTTTTCGTGTCATTACATGGGATTCTGAACAATGGAGGAAAGATCTCAAGATGCTGTCTATATAAACGCTTCTTCGTCAGCTATACCAAACGTCCCGGTTGAATCAGGAGTCTCCTGATTTTTGTTGTTCTTCAACTGACAATCAGTGACACGTGCAGTTTGCAGAAGCTTCAAGAAAGAAAAAGACTTTGGTTCGTTAAATTTTGTTTAAATAAAACAAAATTCTCTTGATTAAAAAAATCCACGCATTCACCATTTGTTTCCATGTACGATGTGTTCATGAGAAAGGGAAATTACGGAGATATCAAACACTCCATCATCATTATCAAATAAACGTCATCAATCAAAATTTTAAAAAGAATGGTTGTCTAACTCTCTTTTTCAAGATTCTTACGGGAACGTAACTCCGATTAAACAAAAGTCGTGTCCATTTCTTGTTATTTGCGATTTTCTATTCAAAACAATGGAATTGGCGATGTCAATTACCGTATTCAAACAAAGAAGCATCAAGAGCGTACAAACTCTATTGAAGTTCATCCATGTAACATCAAAGCTATTTCTATCACTACTGTTGGAAGCTTTCGTACTTTTTTAGCGAAGAGAATGAATATATCATTTAATATAACAATCCAGGTGAATGATTCCCGTGACTGGATCCCACGGGATCCTTCAGGAACTGTGGTCATTTCCCGCCGTTTCCGAGCACGGATCAAACTATCAAACGATCTGATTTTCCCTCGATTTCCCCGTAGTTCGATCACATTTTCATAGATTCCCACTAGATTGTCCATCGAAATCACCCAGAACTCACCGTATGGAAAGGCAATTAATTACGGGGAAAATACTCTGATTTATACTGCCAACTACTGGAGGATAAAACTGTGAACGATTAGCCGACAGTTTCGAATGAGTTTTGGTGTCAGTTGTGTATATTTTGCGGCTGCTTTCCAGTGGAGGTGCCTGTCAGTGGAGTGTTGTGAAATATTTTGTGAAATATATAGCGTCTTTGGTGTTTGCGTTTGTTAGCAAGATAGAGATATATGTGTTTCATTGAAGTTGGTTTTTGTCTTATCGATTACAGCTTTCTTCTTAATGTACCAGCGTCCTGGCGTCTTCCTACTGATTGTAATTCATATATGAGTGTTTAGGACGCCAGGACGCTGCTTCTGTAGGAAGAAAGAAGATAATTAACGGCAATAAATATTCTTCCGGAAGTGTTCTTCTAACGTAAGCATTGTCACTTACAAATGACTCACTGGGACGAAACGACGCCTTGTAAAACAACGACTTTTTAGCCCTTGTCAACTACAATTCTTTCCTACGTAGAATAGACGCCATGGTGTCTTATTCATCTTGTGTAATATATGATCAGTAGCCAAACGACAAGGCACAGCTTGCGTATGCAACAATACCATACTGAATTGATAGTAACGAATCTAGCACAAAATAGTTTCCGAATATTAAACAAATGCCTAGGATGCACGGAAACCATAGCTACTATCATCTCCCGTTTCAGATTGGTCGATATTATGACAATCAACAGTCGGATAGTTATGTGACACGATGTGATGATGAAACAAGACATATTTATGCTAACGAGGGAACATATTTAGGTGTTCAAGCAGTTTAGATCCCATCTTTTGGTAGTAAGTAGACCCCAATGAGGTATGAAAAACCTTAAAAGGATTTGTGCCCTCGTGTCGTTGTTGCCGAGTTATCATCGTTTTACTTGCTTTTTGGCTTGTTGACAGGTGTTTCGATAAAATGCCAACGACACAATTTAAATCTGAAATTTTGTTTATAGATAGTTCTCACCNCTAATAAATATGTAATATTATTAAATTCATCTGTTGCAAAATCGTGCAAATTTGTATTAACATCATCAAATACGTTAGTTTTATTTCAACGTGCGACAATAATTGCAGAAGAACTGTTATTTTTCCATTTATGTACTATCTTATATAAAATATCTCACATGAATATATCACCGAGCGTATAGGGGTGGACCATTTAATTTAATTCTACTTAATTAACGAAAATGGTCCACCCTAACTCCACTTGGCAGCAATTGTGCATATTATCGTTCATGTGTTTTATTAAAAATAAAATTCAAGAACAGTCCTAGTGAAAAACGTCAGATTATTCAGATTATAATCGGATGTTTCTGCGACAAAAGCAAGATTAAATTAAACTGGAATTCACAAAAGAAACGATAACTTGATTGTTCGATCCAACATAATTTCCTGAATTCAGTATATATTTTGATTCAAATAATTTATCATCAATTCATAAATCATCTATTGTTTTGTTCCATGTGATTTTATTAAAAAGACATACTGATTTCAAAAGATTATAATCTGGATTTTGTCGAAGAAAAATTCAGTTATAATCTGACAATTTTTTTAATGGAAAGATGTAGAGTGAAAAGTTCTACAGCTTAAAAAGAACAGTTCATTTGATTATTTTCTAATAGAACCGAGGGGGAAAAGCGAGACTTGACACTTCAACTACTTCACCGTACCTCACTGATACTTCACTTTACTTCAAATACTATCTGAATTAGATGAAATCTCCATTTTCTCCCCTTGAGTAGAACGCATTAGATGATGAAAAAAAAACGAAGAAAACATGCATGAATTATAATATTTGTTTCTGACGTCAAATGCAATCTCTAATTAGCTGTTTTAATTACCACTACTTATGAGATAATCTTTCTTTTTTTTAATAAAAAAGAGTACTATAGAAAAATGATCTATGATATTCAAAGAATAAAATGTACACATGAGAAACGTCGTTTAAAATTCAGTATCAAGAGAACAAAGAATGTCCTCTGTTGCATCTCTAACATTGATATCTCAACAGTTTACGATTTATTTTGGCATTCCAGTCTTTATCTTTGGTCTTATTGGAAATTGTTTCAATATTCTCATGTTTTCATCGAGAAAATTATTTCTATTTAGTCCATGCCAATTGTATTTACTTGCTGGATCAATTTCAAGTTTATTTGTAATTGTTACTCCACTTTTATTACGTATATTAATTGGTTTACAATATGATTTAACAAAAACAAACCTATTTCTCTGTAAAGCACGACAATATTTAGGTCATGTTTTCATATTAGCATCGTTAACGTATGTCAGTTTGGCAACCATTGATCGATATTTAATTAGCTGTCGTGAAACTCGTTTTCGACAGATGAGTAAAATGTCAACAGCACGACTGCTGTGTATCGCAACAGTTGTTTTCTGGTCTTTACATGGTTTGCCCATCGTGATAATGGTTAACATTTATCCAGCTGCAGGAAATCAAACTGTTTGTGTTAATCGATCGACAATCTATGGATACTATCTAAATTATTTTATCATTTTAATTCTCTACAATATATTACCTTTAGCAATTTTTGTTATATTTGGATGGTTGACATGGAGAAATATTCACCAAATCCATCAACGACGCGTCGGACCTGAACAACAACATTTACCCACGAATCAACGTCAGGAATCTCGATTAACAAGAATGTTACTATTACAAATTTGTTCGATTAGTCTATCAACAATACCTTATACAATAAACAGTCTGTACACTGCAATAACAAATCAAATACAAAAGGATTCATTAAGAGCAGCACAAGAAAGTCTATCTGCAACAGTGACTAGTTTACTGTTTTATTTAAATTTCAGCATTAGTTTCTATGTTTATCTCAGCTCGTCAAAATCATTAAGAATTAAGTTTTTTAGAGAATTACTTTCACCATACAGTGGGTGTCGACAAGGGACACAAGCTGTTTCGATAAACACAGCAGCAGCAATCAATAATGCAGGTCAAACAGCATAATCTTCGACAAGAAACAGATCAAATATTTTCTTGTAATTCGTTGTTGCTGTTTGTTGTGTACGGTTTTCTTTTCATAAAGAGAAAGAAAAATTATTTGATACCTTATCATAATATGGGAGGCCTAGTCAGTGTGTGTGTGTGTACGTGTGAAAAGGAGAGCAGTCATCCCTCAAACTATATAAAATGCATTGAATATCACATTGTCCGATTGACTCAAGCAGATTTCGGATTCCTGTTCGCTCTACGATAACAGAAACATGTGTGATGATTTTTTTTTCGTGTCATTACATGTGATTCTAAACAATGGAGGAAAGATCTCAACATGCTGTCTATATAAACGCTTCTTCGTCAGCTATACCAAACGTCCCGGTTGAATCAGGAGTCTCCTGATTTTTGTTGTTCTTCAACTGACAATCAGTGACATCTGTAGTTTGCATAAGCTTTAAGAAAGAAAAAGACTTTGATTCGTTAAATTTTATTTGAATAAAACAAAAATTCTCTTGATTAAAAAAATCCACGCATTCACCATTTGTTTTCATGTACGATGTGTTCATGAGAAAGGGAAATTATGGAGATATCAAAAGCTCCATCATCATTATCAAATAAACGTCATCAATCAAAATTTAAAAAAGAATTGTTGTCTAACTCTCTTTTTCGAGATTCTTACGAGAACGTAACTCCGATTAAACAAAAGCCGTGTCCATTTCTTGTTATATGCGATTTTCTATTCAAAACAATGGGATCGGCGATGTCAATTACCGTATTCAAACAAAAAAGCATCAAGATCGTACAAACTCTATTGAAGTTCATCCATGTAACATCAACGCTATTTCTATCACTACTGTTGGAAGCTTTCGTACTTTTTAGCGAAGAGAATGAATATATCATTTAATATAACAATCCATGTGAATGATTCCCGTGACCGGATCCCACGGGATCCTTCAGGAACTGTGGTCATTTCCCGCCGTTTCCGAGCACGGATTCAAACTATCAAACGATCTGATTTTCCTTCGATTTTCCCGTATTTCGATCACATTTTCACGGATTCCCACTAGATTGTGCATCAAAGTCAGCCAGAACTCACCGTATGGAAAGGCAATTAATTACGGGAAAAATACTCTGATTTATACTGCCAACTACTGGAGGACAAAACTGTGAACGATTAGCCGACGGTTTCGAATGAGTTTTGGTGTCAGTTGTGTATATTTTGCGATTGCTTTCCAGTGGAGGTGCCTGTCAGTGGAGTGGTGTGAAATATTTTGTGAAATATATAGCGTCTTTGGTGTTTGCGTTTGTTAGCAAGATGGAGGTATATGTGTTTCATTGAAGTTGGTTCTTGTCTTATCGATTAAAACTTTCTTCTTTAGTGGAGAAAAACGACTTTTTATGGTTTTAGTCTTTGCATTTTGTTATATTAAAGAAGCGGAAACCCGTATATGATGCATCTTGTAGAGAATTTAATTCTCTACAAAATCTTCAATGTGGCTATACTTGGGAATAAAATTTTCTCCTAAGGCTTTTATTACAAGAGTCATATGATCAAAATTTAGCCTTGAACACCAGCTTTCAGAATATATAAGATAATTCGAATTTGTTCTGTTCAGCTGCAAAGATCTCATAGTCACAAGATTTTCGAAAAATTCAGAACTTTTAACTTTTGCTCGAAAGTCCCATAAATGTCATGATGAATATATCGGTACTTACTAAAGAAATTCGACAAACTGATTTCAGACATTTTTATACCTCGATATGGTTCACAAGTGCTGAAAGTTTCAAGGGATTTGGAGAAACTCGGTGTAAGCGTGGTTGAAATCCCATATGGTTTACCCCAGCCCCTTTTCAAGTTATTCTCATTGATATGTAATAAAATTATAAAACATATTTCATTAGACATACTAGTTTTTAGAAAAGCTTTGGAATATTTGCTCCTTTGCAAAATTTCGAGCTAACTTCGAACGTTTAAGCTGGCAGTTTGGAAAATACTTGTTTTATGTACTAAAAATAAAGCTCTCTTCATACTGACTTTTGTGTTTTTCGATTTTTTGTTTCTTTAAAACGGTGCAATGGCAGCGCAATTCACTCTTATATATAAGTATGAAGCAATATGTCATAGTCCGAATATACCTACACGTATCTGCATTACAAAATGAGAAAAAAAAACAAGGTGAAAGATAACAATCCTCAAAATCAACAAAGAAGCGTTGTATGTGAGATTATTTGAAACTCTATAAAGACTGATGAAAACACAGAAATAATATAAATGATGATGGTCTCAACTGAATACGCGATGAACGTCAAGGTTCTTCTACTAATAGTATCTATGTTATGCATTTTCCCAACGATTATAGCAAGCAATAATTCACCAACAGCTCAAACAGACCAGGGTGTTTATATTGGTCGACAAATAACAATAAACGGCTCGAATGTAAATTATTGGTACGGTATACCATATGCGCAACAGCCCATTAGTGGTCTTAGATGGATGCCCCCTCAGCCTCTTCCAATGTCCAATGGTACTCAATTCGCATATACTAACAACGTGTGCCCACAAGGAAGTGGCTTTGAGCCACCATTTACTGAGGCTTGTCTAGTGTTAAACGTGTACGCCCCTGAAAACGCAACAAATTTACCCGTATACGTTTACATTCATGGAGGTGGTTTCAGTGGTGGTATTGCCATAAATTATAATGCTATACCGCTTGTTGGTACAAGTATAAGCCATGCAGTTCCTATAGTAGTCGTTTCAATTAACTATCGACTCGGTTTACTTGGTTTTCTTGCAGACCAAGCACTCTATGATGAAAAATCAGGTATTAACAATAGAAGTACTACAGGTAATTACGGAATATTAGATCAAATGATGGCACTCGATTGGATAAAGAAGAATATTTTTGGTTTTGGTGGTAATCCCAGCGAAATCACTATTGGTGGCGAAAGTGCTGGTGGTATTTCTGTCAGTATTCTACTTACATCGCCATTAGTTCCGGATGGTACATTTCAAAGAACAATCATAGAGAGTGGTGGCCTCTGGCCCAATTTGATTAGTACATTTGAAGATGCCATCAATCATACCGGCAAAGTTTTGCGAGCTGCTACAAATTGCACTACAGCACAATGTCTTCGTAATTTGACAGTGAAACAGATTCTTTCTGTTCAAGCAACTATTGGGTCAAAGGACATTGTTGGAGCGGCTATCACAGCAGTTATTGACAACTATGTTTTAAATGATATAGTGGAAAATAATTATGCGAGAGGAAAGTTCAAAAAAGTGCCTATGCTAATCGGATCGACTACAAACGAGACGAGTCTACGGACATGTGCACACTTTCATGATTCGGCCACTATCGCTCAAGTTCAAGCGGTCTTTGCTGCGCTGTACAATGGCACTGTTATTAATAAAATCTTTGATGTTTATGGACCTATTTCAACCTATAGCAATCCATTGGCGTACTTAAATCTAGTCTATAGTGATTCTTGGGCACATTGTGGATCTAGACGTATCGCTGCCAGATTCTCTGCTCACAATATATCCTCTTACTTATATACATATAGTCATTTCGTACCTGCTATACGTGCTTGTATTGGTGTACTCCATACAGCTGAACTTGCGATGATTTTTCCACAATATGTTTCTATCTTCTTTCCCAATTATAATTTAACTGCCGAAGAACAACAACTTTCCACTAACATGATGTTGTATTGGGCTAATTTTATTCGAACATCCAATCCGAATTTCGATGAAAGTCCAGCAAATTGGGAGGCTTATTCAATCGATGCCGATAATGATTTCGTTTTCGATATTCATTCACAAATGAGGCTTCATTATTATAATGCCACTTGTTCTGGTTTATGGGATCAGTATGCAATTACAAATAGTACTCTGACATAAGCGTTGAAAATCAATGTCGCCAGTTACCAACTTTTTTTCTAATATTACTCATCGATCAAATAAATTATCGGAAATCTAAATTTTGAGTCTTTGTATATTCAATTCTGTTTATTTATGAGTCTAAGCTTCGACGCCTATTCTCTGAGCACATATGTGTAGTCATTCGTTCTTGGTCTCTGATAACCATAACTAAGAAGACCATGACAAGGATGGCGATTACAACGGGATTTTATTTCATACGATCCTGATTTATCTTCTAAACTAGATTAAACTTCTACTTACGAGATTTGAACGATGTACCTTTATCAATATTGATCATACCAAATAGACAAAAAATAGTCATCAATTTCTCGCATGAAATTTTAGAATATTCATCAAACGCAGATTGTTGGCAAGCTTGAAAATAACCGTATTTATTTGGTATTTTAGACATATCGATCCAATGAAGGAAATCACTAGAAAGATTTTCTGAAAAAACGTACAATAATATTTGTAAAACAAGATATTTTCTCAACGGCATTGTAAGTACGAATAGAACGTTCATTCACCATGGGACCTTACGATGAAACACATATTTCTATTTTTGATAAAGGAAATAGATGAACATTCATTCCTAGTTGAAAACATTTATTAGCAAATTTACAACGAAAAGATTTTTAGTAAATGAATGTTTGCATTTATATTTCTCGCCCTCAACCACCATTTGTTTGGAGTGAATCCTATTGTGATATACAAGTTTCGCATATTGGCCATCCAGATAAATGGGATTTCAAACCATATACATCAGTGTAGAAAATATGATGAACTAATCTTGTAACAGACACAATCTCTTGTTAAAAGCAAACAAAGGATAGAATCATACAGAAGTCATCATTTCTTTCTTCCTGCGCCTCCTATACATTCCAACACATTTTTTTTGATAGGCGTCGATTGGAGGCAAATTATTCGCGTGGTTTTGCATTGGTTCCCCTCTTCTCTCGTGTTTATCATCATGTCTGCATATATTTTTTACTGACGATGAGTACATTTCTTCAGAACTAGGACGCAAGTATTAGTACTTGTACTTAGTGTTCTGCCTTAATCTATGGCGGTCGTTGTATAAATTAAGTCGGTCCAACACTCTGATCATAAATTGATGTCAATTTTCTATCATATGACCAAAATCTATTTTAATATTTAGGTACCGCGAATCTACTGTAGTTAACATATGCAAAACTAAAGCCTGTGATATTTTGTTGTTTTTCAAAACCATGTATTACAGACATTTTTAAAAAATCGTGAAAGCGAAATATGCATAAAACAATTTTTGATAAAAAAAGGCGAAGTAAAAATATTTAAGTATATGGAGACTACGAGTCAGTTTTAAACCCGTCTCTCAGATGGGGTCTTGATACACACATGAAAAGATTAAGCTTCGAAAAACTTCTCCTTGCATTGACGTTCGTCTAGGAGACATAATAATACCTGCTTAACTGAAAACTCTTTCAATAGGTACTGAAGATGCCTGCACAGAAAATACTCGTTCAACCACAGCTTTTAACGAATGTAACTGCGGTCTATTCCAGGTTCACTTTGATGATGCACACAGAATACGCTCTGACGATGTTAGTGTGAATCCGATAAGGCACTCCTATATAAACAACTTTTTCTAATATCATATGTGTAACCAATCATAATTCATATATCTCTCTCTAGACAGGTCACCAACTAGACGCAATGTATATTTCTTCTTGTGTTATGAATGTATGCCTTCTCTAAAAGAAGAAGGTCAGTTGATTTGGGGCATAAAGTTGCAATAGGAAGCACAAATAGCATAAATAAACAGCTACAATATGCTCATCCCAATATGCAATACTTTTCTTGTTCACTTTACTCGTTCTCATTGTTGTATTTGCAAAAGTAATATAATAAAACATTATACAAAACAAGCTAATACATTAAAATAAGGAAGTGTGGTATTTTTACTTGCAAAATCTGTTTTATTTATCCCTCAGATACAGACACAAGTACCAGGTGCTCTTCTTGAAGTACAAGTAGAATACTTTCACTTGCACTACTTGTACTTGTCCTAGCTCTGGTTGCTATTATATTTATCATTGTTTCAGTGATGTTCTTTATTCTTATAGACGCTTTAAAATATGTTTTAGGCATCGACCTAGCAAAAGAAGAAACGGACAAAATAGAAAAAAAAAGCCAAGCGGAAATCCACTCGAAGACAACCGCCGGTGTTCCAAAAGTTCGTCTACGTTGATTCAGCAACAGTCGTGAGACAATAAAATTTTGCTATGGATATGGGTAAGGGTGTGAATAAAAGATAAATATTTACACTTTCACCATGAAATTGACACGTTGTAACAGGTGTAGAAGCGAATGTTTAATATTAATAAGATCGAAATCCAGATTGAAGTAGTAATAATTTTCAACTCCCTCTTCCTATTATTGTGAATCTCTTCTACCAGGGAATGCAAAGAAATCTCCACCTACCGAATATATCGTAAGCTGAACAACTATCTGGCTGTGTGATCAGATATGAAATCAAGACTCACGTCAGAAATCCCATCTGAGATGGCTGGAGTGGATGAGATGTAGGAAGATAAAAATGGTATTTTATTGGATGAAGTCGAATAAAACACTAAAGAAAAAGCGATAACAAAAGACTGACTCAAAAAAATGAGAAAGAAAAATTTTAATACAGATTGGAGGTGATTTGAGAAAAAATAGAAAACATAGAAGACATACAATCATAGAAATCATCATGAGAACGGACATAATAATCAACGAAAACTAAAACACGACAAGAAAAAAGAGAAAGACGAACAAAGCATAGTACGCCAAAAGAGAAGAGAGATATCAGCTATGTAATAAAAACAAAGTAAATATTCCCATCGATACCATCCATTTATAGTACTCATAGCAGACATTCAAATGCATTTATAATGTTAATATCGAAAGATTGTTTATTTTTAAAATCTATTTTCAATTTTTACTTAATTATGTACTATATTACACTCCATCTGATGATCGATTCTTTGAATAAGAGTCGAAACTAGTCATGGTATTTATTTGTTTAATCCCACCCTCATCCACACCTACCCTGATTTATTGAAGAGAAAAAAAAAGAAAAAAGCAATTCATTGTTTGGAGTCTATTCTATAGAGAAACTTTGAATACGATTATTGCGCACATCGGCGACATACAGATTGCCTTGTCGATCGAAAGATAAACCTTCGGGATTGTAGAACTGACTTGCTTCTGATCCTTGACCATTTCCGCCCGCTATGATAGTGCCCTGTTTTGCGTATGTAGGCCAACGCATCACTCGATTATTCCTTGAATCTACCACATAGACAGTACCCAATGTATCGATAGAGAGTCCGTTAGGATACGACAATTGTGTCAGATTGCTTCCTTGACCGTTACCCCCAGCGACGACTCTTCCTTCGCTTGCACCTTTATTCCATTTCATTACACGATGATTGCGGTAGTCTGACACGTAGACAGTCTGTTGCCGATCTACAAAGATGTAGCCTGGAGCGTTGAATTGATTGAGATTAGTACCAGCACCATTACCACCGGCTACGATAGTTCCATCCTTATCTCCTTTTTCATAGCGTCTTACTTCATGTTTCACGTAATCAGATACGTAGAGATATTTCTGATCATCCACGGCCAATCCATAACAATTGATGTTGTTGACGAGTATTTCTCCCTGAGTTGTGCCACTACGACGAGACCACTGCACGACGCGTTGATTTCCTACATCACAAATAATAAAACTATCACCGTCTATATCGATTAATACATCGGTTGGAAAGTAAAATTGATCCGATTGATTTCCTGGACCATGGCCACCAGCCACTACTTCTCCATTCGTATCACCCATCTTCCATAGAGTGACACGATGATTTTCCCACTCACCGATGATCATCGTTCGATCACCATCAACGAAGAGACCATTAGGGAACCAGACTTGATCGCTGGCATTGCCTGGTCCGTTGCCTCCAGCAACAGTCGTTCCATTTTGCATCCATCGAGCATCGACAGGAATATTGGGACTTACTATAATGAACGAAGAAGAAAGTGAATTCGCATTTTTCTCTGTCATGAGGATACCCAGGTCGATCATTTCGGGCGGAACCGACCGTCCCATAATAACTTCGGTATATCTACCTAAATTCAGAATCATCCCTGAAACTACCATGTACGCCCTCAGATTTGCTAACGACTGTAAATGAAATCGGGTGATATTTCCACTATGGCAAGGTTCACTTTTCAAGATTACGCATTTGATTTACATATGGTCCGATGAAGCGGAAGACAGGCTGTCAAAATATACATAAATAATGGGGATAAAATATAGAGAAAACAATAACTGAGCGCCCGGATTAAGCGCATTCTCGATTATTTGGCTAAATTGTATTTTGAGCGTTTGTCGGTCAAACTAGATGCCACCATAAGACAATTTTATACAGAAATGATCAGCTCGTTGAGCGCTACATACCCTGAAGTTTAAAGACATTTCTGAGAAAGTCGTATACAGAGTATGGTTCGCTCCCATGGACTCATCTTATGCATTACTATATTCTCATGAAGTATCGCTACGAAGCCTGGTTTCATCAAAAAGTGACGTCAACCGTTGATTTATTTGAAACTAACTTTCTCAGGACACGTACAAATAACTTTCACTTACTAGAAGCGGTTGCTGTTGTGATCAATATGACGAAAACGACGGCACAAAGCAGAATCATTACTCAATTGATAAAAAAAAGGTCATGTATACGATATATATATTTATATATGAGCGTGAGTCACAGCTGTAAAGTTTCTCAGCTATTCTTTTATTCACTTCTATCATTCTGATCATGTAAAACAGAAGCAAAAATCTATTTATAACCGATTCTTTTTATGATGACAAATCAATTTAAATGACACAATTTTCATCGTATGAAAATCAGATTTTTATAGCTTTTCTTACATGGGTATCCAATGCTTTTTTTCCGTTCTCTTCCACGAGAAAAAATTAATAGGAAATATAAAATGATATTTGCACACACCCACACCATCGCCCTCAAGATGGGAATGGGATGTCTGATTTTCTTTCCCTCTGTCGAATTTAAATCAATGAAACCATTCAATTCATCGGACGAATGCAAAATTTGATTGAAAAGTCTTTCTATGAGGTATACACATCTCCATGAAAGTTATTTTTCAAACGGTTGTGCCTGGTATTCATTGAAACTTTTCTATTCGTAATATATTGCACTATGAGCCAACTAGTGAACGCGGTTCGAGTTGTTCGAACTTCATCTCATCCGAACATTAGCAAACGACGCTTTGGTAAAACAGTACAGAAGGTAAACATATGACAGAAAAAAGAGATTTGTTCGTGACTTTCACTTCGATGTTCTTTTCTATATTTGTTAAAGAAGACAATATTACAGAACACACGACTGGACAACCCTGTTGCAAAAGTCTTAGATACCAGCACATATCTTGATCGACGATCGTTTGAAAAACAAGTAAGTAAACAGAAAGAGAAGTTTGAACCTAGTGCATGTCTGAGGTCAATAATTCATGTCTCAATGTTCGGGCCAAATAATTGTTAGAAAACTGGAAATAATCACAAGAATCCTTCCATTGCAACAATACAATATAACTCTCAAAGAGCGCATCGCAATGATAATTTAAAAAG